AAGATGAAATGCCAAGTGCCTGGAATTGAGTGGGAGGATTCAGGAATATCTAGGTCAATAACATCATTACTCTCATTATTCTTATTTCTTTTATTTTCCTTGATGCCTTCCTCTTAACTCCATCTAGGGAGCTAATCATATTTTTACCCATTTCTGCACTTGGGAAAACTTTCTTAATAAGTAATAAGCTTTGGCTACTCCTTGGGAGTCAGGGAAGTTGCAGGGGAGGCCAAGCAATGTGCTAAATCAGCTAAAAATTGTATTTGGGGTCATATCAGTGGCATTGTTTCATATAGTAGAATTAGAACCTTCTTCTCCCTGTGTCTTGACTTAATGTTGAGTTTTAACTTTAGATGCTCTTTACCTTTTCATTTTATGCAGAAAAGTAATCCTCATGGAGCTTCTTTTAAGCAGCAGATACCATCATAGATTTAAGAACTTCAGATATAAGTTCTCCATGTTTGCTTTCTCCCACAAGTAATGTTATCTCTTTATCTTTGCTTCCATCTTCCCGTTTTTCTCTGCTATTTAAGTAGAATTGTCTCCGCTCCTATGTAGTGCTATTTATCACTCTGTGCCCTGAGTCATACTTTTTTTCCAATTCATAAAGGATTTTGATCCTGTGCTTATCCTTATTTCATGCTAATGAGTTCTCCTATCTTTCACCTCTTTCTTTTTGCTTTTATGTGCATGGTGTCACTTGTTTGGGGAGGAGCATACCCACACATTAATTGGATAGTCACTGTTTTAATCATTGAACCACCATTTATTGACCCTTTACCGTCTATGTTACTAGGCATTGGGGAGGCAGAAAATAATAAGAAAGTATCTTCCCAGGAGCTCATGTTCTCATGGGAGAAAGATAGGTAAAGATAAATATAATTCTTTTTAAGTCCTGTGATAGAGGTATTTATATTTTACTATGGGAGCAGGATCTAGTTCAGTTTAGGAGATAGAAGATGGGAAGAGTGGATTGACCAGTTTTCTGGATGGGGAGATGTTTGGGCTGAGTTTTGAAGGAAAAACAGAAGCCAGCCAGGCAGAGTAAGAGGAAAATGGCATTTTAGAAAGGAAGAATCTTATTCCTCATCAAATGTTTTTTTAGATAATGTGTACCTGCTGTGGTGTTAGGTAGTACCTGAAGTACTAGTGTATATGGTCACTATCCTTAATGGGGAAGATGTGGGAAGGGGGAACGAAAGTAGAAAGCTTAAGCATATAATGCAATTATACATGTAAAACAGTATGGTAAATGCCAAATTGAGGTTATAGTGCTCTAGGAATTTAGAGAAGGATTAATAAAATCTAAGGTAATTGAAAATGAAGAGGTTAGACCACCCAATTTGGAATGTATAATAGGAGAAAGAGAACCATTGAAAGTTTTTGGACACAATGACATGAAAAACAGTGCTGACAGATTCTCTTGGAGTGTATGCGTGGACTCTGGAGATGACTAGTAGGGAGGAGGGGTGAGAAATCATTGTCCAGGAGGCTAGCTAGGAAGCTTTTGGAATGAGGTGAAGTAATGGGGACATTTCTTAACCAGATTTTCATAACCAGATTCTTCAGAACTCCCTATGCTCTTTTAAAATTTACTACCATCTGTTCTTTTATACAAATGGACTTCTGCATCCCCATTTCACTGAAAGGTTTCTTTCTAAAGTTACTGATCTAGCCAAATCTCATGATTGTTTTTTGTTCTCAGCACTTAACGGAGAACCACTGCAGCGACTACCTAAGCACCAACAGTGGAGGCATTTTTTTAACTTTTCTACCAAAAATATATAAAGTTTAATGAATTGCAAACAAAACAGAAGCCCTACTTTTTCAGAGTTTAAGTTAAGAGATTTTAGTGTACTTTGGATCTGTTCTAGTAGAACTGATGAAAATAAGCACAACAATGGAATAATTCTTACTCATGATATCTTAACTTTAAGTTTTAGCTGAACTTCCTTCTATACCGTTTTCTCTACCTCTTAAGGCTTCAGTCCATATTCTCTCCCTTTTCTGAACCATTATAACACAAAATGCTCAGACTTGTACTTTTATTTTTTATTTTTTAAGCTCTTGTGTTTGACCTTCCTGAATGGACTATGGGTTCCTGGAGGGCAGGAATTTTACCATAGTGTGTGTGTGTGTGTGTGTGTGTGTGTGTGTGTGTGTGTATAAAAAATCTTACTGTAGCATAACCCTGTACATGTGTAAATATAAATTCTTGTTAAATGTTATAACACGTATTAATTACCTGTTATATTGTATGTTTCATTATAATTGACTCATAAAGTCTCAATTAGTGGTGTTGGAGGAAGGAAACAAATTAAAGATGGTTCTCAATAGGGGACATCTGTAATATCAATTATATTCCAATTTGGAATGTACTTTTATATTAATTTTGAAAATGTATGTGACTGGCTGCTTTGGGAATTTGAACAAAATAAAGCTACTCAGTGGACACTTAATTGAGGCAAATAGGATGACAGCATGGTATAATAATAGCCAATGTTTATAGAATGACATGTGAATAATAACAGTAGTAACTACCCTGGCCAGTTCGGCTCAGCGGTTAGAGCGTTGGCCTGTGGACCAGAGAGTCCCAGGTTCGGTTCCCGCTAAGGGCATGTACCTCGGTTGTAGTTTGTCTTTGCCCGGGTTGGCGTCATGTGGGTGGCAGCTGGTCGATGTCTCTCTCTCACATCGATGTTTCTCTCTCACTCTTCCTCCCTCTCTCCCTCCTCTATCTGAAGATAAACGCAAAAAAATAAAAAATAAAAAAAAATTATAGCAGTAACTACTATTATCACCAGCACCACTAGTAGCTAACATTTACTATTTGCCATTCACTGTTTCGAGTGCTTTGTATCAGTGAGGTTATAATTATGCTCATTTTACAAATGAGATATGGTAGAAAAACTACTAGATTGGGCATCAGGGGATCTGGGCTGTTTTTAGTTGTACTGTTAACTACTATGTGAATTTGGGTAAGTCTTTAAACTTAAGTAGATCTTAGTTTTTCATTTTTAGATCAAAGGGATTCATTTCTAATCTCTAGGTTATTTTGCCCACTCTCTTGACATTCTGTGATCTCTAAATTATCTTGTCTTGCTGTTCCACAATTTCTTTTAACTTATTTTATGCTGGGAGCAAGCATTTCTGGCTGAGATGATAGAGCAGGTTGGGTTAAAAAAAATTTTTTTTTAGGTCTCTGCAGGTGCTGTATAGAGAAATTTAAAGTTTAGATTCCAGAGGCATGCATATAATAAAAATGAAGGCAATTTGCGAAAATGAGAAAGGCAAAACTGGATTTAAATATCTGAAAAACAGTACATAACAGTACTCTACTGACAGTGCAGATAGAATCCTCATGGTTGTTTCTTGATATATAATAGCTAGTGCTTAATCTGGTTTACTTTTATAGTGCGTTAGTATCCTCCCAAGGTACACCTAGAGTAACTAACACATATTAAATGTTTCTTCTGTACATATCAAAAAGTAATATGTGATTATTCTCAATGTAAGTACTTTTTTCATTTTATAGACGAGAAAGCTGGAGTTTAGAAATACTAATATTTTCACGGTCCCACAGTGAGTAGCTGGTTGAGTAACTGGTAGAAGCAGTACTTGAATTCTGGTCTGCCTGATTCAAGAGCCTGTGTTCTTTATCAATTCTGTATGTTTCCCAGAAATTCATATCCTAAGCATATACCCCAAGTTGCTTTTTATCTCCACCATTTGGGATGAGGGACCCATATGGGATTTTCTTAGCCACACATTTTTTTTTTCTTTTGACTGAGGTACTTTAAGTTTCTTATTTTGTTCTCTTTTTTTCTTTTTTTAAATATCATTTAGAAGCCTTTTACTCTTTTATACTTTATAGTCAGGTCACTATTCCTGCTTCTTTGATCCCAGGATAGAAAGGTTTGTACCTTCTGCTGAAAGTTAGCAATTCCATTGTGAAGTGCCATGCTTTGTTTCTGTATTTTTAATTCTTAGAAGAGCTTCCTCCCTTCTATAGAATGTGTTAACCTGGCAGAATTTGTTTTTCTTTTTTCTTTCTTTGGTTAGTAATGATCTGAATTTTTCAGCCTTGGAATGAAATACATTACAGAATCCAGATCATTGGATGTTTGCATTAAGCCTGTCCTCGAGCTTTTAGTGCTTCCATTCTTTCTTCTGTCCGTGTATGTGATTCAGTGTTTTATATCCAACGCTCTCAGATCTTTAGTTAGTTTTCTTAAACTTGTTCCTTTGAAAAGAAACTGCCTGATCCTGCCTATCCTCCTTTTCTCTTGTTCATCAGTGTACTTGAGTTTTCATTCTTTACTCTCAACTCCCCCAGCTAGTTTGTTTCCTTGATATTCCTGTCTACCCTTTACTCTTCTTAACCTTTTACCTGCTTGGCTCTACCTTATTTTCTCTGTGCAAATTCCAGTGTATATTTCTCAAGTACTTTTCTGATCTCTTGCCTCCACTTTTGGTATTCTTTTGTTTGTATGACTCCCCTAAAATTTGTGTAAAAGAAATACTAGAGCCCTGGCCGGTTTGGCTCAGCGGTTAGAGCGTCCGCCTGCGGTCCGGAGAGGCCTGGGTTCGGTTCCCGCTAAGGGCATGTACCTCGGTTGCAGTTTGCCCCCGGCCCTGGTTGGTCGTGCGGGTGGCAGCCACTCGATGTGTCCCTTTCACATCGATGTTTCCCTCTCTCTCTCTTCCTCTCTCTCCCTCCCACTCTGTCTGTACAAAAAATGGAAAAATGTCCTCGGATGAGGATTAAAAAAAAAAGAAATGCTAGATGTACAGTGTTACGTTTTTAATGAGCCCTTGGTGTTGGTGAGTAAAGGTCGTCATCAGAATTACTTTGTGTGTATGTATTGTACTGTATCTTAAACATTTTAAAACCAAATTTGCTATGTTTTAGAGAGGATTAAAATAAGAAAAAAGATTGGAAATGTTGATCTCTTAAATATTTGGTTTGGTCATTAACATACTCAATCTTTTTCCTCCAGATTTAACTCAGGCTTTCCCTCACTTTGGAACGCCTAGATTTGTGAATATTGGATATTTTGAGAAGCAGGGGTTCTTTCCTTGATACTGACTAAGGAGTCTATTTACCTTCAGGATGACATCTGAATTGGAGAGCAGCCTAACATCTATGGACTGGTTACCACAGCTCACCATGAGAGCAGCCATCCAAAAATCTGATGCTACACAAAATGCACATGGAACAGGAATTTCCAAGAAGAATGCACTTCTTGACCCAAATACAACCCTGGACCAGGAAGAAGTCCAACAGCACAAAGATGGGAAGCCTCCATACAGTTATGCCAGCCTCATTACATTTGCAATTAATAGCTCACCCAAAAAGAAAATGACACTAAGTGAGATTTACCAGTGGATTTGTGATAACTTCCCATATTATAGAGAGGCTGGCAGTGGTTGGAAGGTAAGGAGTTTCTTTAAATTACTATATTTATGCTGTAAGCAATGAAAATATTAGCTTCGATTGAAGATAAAGCTCTGTGGAGATTTATATTTATGATTGAAGGTGAAATTCTAACTACTAGTCATTTTTAGGGTGTCAAAGGAAATTAAGTGTTTTTAATTAGGTGAATAACTTTTTGGTAGAATATTGGTTTGTTAGAGCTTTATTATATGACTGACCCAGCATAAAGTAAGAACAGAGGTAATGTAGTGTTCATTGGAAAACAACACCTACATTTCAGGTAAGTTGGTAATGTGCCTATGGTAACAAAAAAAAACAATGTAGTATTGCAATTAGTGCTGTTTTTATTATCCAAGATTTGTCAGAAGCTTTCTATTTTGAAAGAATTTTAGCTTTATAGAGAAGTTACATAATTGTTACAAAGGGATCTGGATTTCCTTCATCCTCTTTCTCTATACTAACATCTTATACCACTATAATACAGTGATCAAAATTAGAAATGTTGGTACATTACTTTTGACTGAAAGAGTACTGTTAACTACTAAATAAAATACAGACTTTATTCAGATTTCATTAGTTTTTCCACTAATGTCCTTTTATGTTCCAGGATCCAATCCAGAATCCCACATTGCATTTAGTTGTTATGTCTCGTTTGTCTTCTCTAATCTGTAACGATTCACCAATCTTTTCTTGTCTTTATGACTACGACACTTTTGAAGAGTACTTATCAGGTACTTTGGAGAATGATCCTCAGTTTGGAAATGTCTGATGTTTTCTCATGATTAGAGTGAGATAATGTATGTTTTGAGAGAATAATGCAGAGGTGATGTGCCCTTTTCTGTATATCTTATCAGGGGGTACTTGATGTCACCGTGTCTTATTAACCTTGGTTCTTTGGTTAATGTGGTATGTGCCAGTTTCTCCACTATAAAATTACTACTTGTCATTCTGTAAATTTTAAAATGTTTTGGGGAGATATTTTGAGGGTATTCAAGTACTCTGTTTCTTCTTAAACCTTTGCTCATTAATTTTAGCATTTATTGGTGATCATAACAATAGCAGTTTTTACTGTTTTCTAGTGGTGATTTTTTCTTTTTTCTTCATTCCTTATACATTTATTAATTGGATTCTAAGACTATCCCTTCTTCTCATTTTGTTTATTCAATCACTTATTTCTGTGTTTGTTTTTTGTTTTTGGTACGTGCCCCTAGTGGGAACCGAACCTGGGACTCTGGTCCGCAGGCCGATGCTCCTAACTGTCCACTTATTTCTAATACTATGCACTGATAGATATTTTATTCGTTGTGCTGTCGTCGTTTGTTGCTCAAATTGTTACAGTTTTGGCCATTAGTAGCTCTTATAGTTTGGCTCCTGTGCCCTTTTGACATGACCCCATTTTTGTGTTGGTTTAGCACCTTTTAACTTTCTGGCATCACAAGATGTTCCAGGCCCATCTTATACCTTCCCTTCTGCAGCCCTAGAATCAACTACTACTTTTTAAGAATCTCAAATTCCTTACCTAGGCTTTTTGATGTTCCATCAAATTAGTTTATGTCATACAACAAAAAATTAAACTTTCCTTTGTATCTGCACATGTTATGTTTACATTCTTATATAAGAATTAGCCAGTTGTGTGCTTGGGGGTGTGAGTGTGCGTACGTGTGCACGTGCACATGGAAGAAGGGGTTTATAGAGCTTTACGTCTGCCATCAGATGATAGTTGTGTTTCTCTTACGCCTTCCTATCTCAACAGCGTTGTCCTTTTTATTTGACTATATTTATTAAAGACATTTACTGATGTATTGTGCACCAATGATGTGCTGTGCACCATGCCAGAAAATCAGTTATTTTAAGGGAAGGGATTTTTTTATATCTCTTACTTTATTCCATGCCCTAGCACAGTGCTTCCATTTAGTAAGCCTCAGTAAATGGGGTTTGAATGAAAGCCTTAATTCTGGTCCCAGACTTTTTCCCAAGCTTTATTTTTTCACTAGTTCCCTCTTAATGTATTCTGCCTTCTTCTGTCTATTCCAGCTTTCTAACTGTCCCTGGAAATAAATACTTTAATTTCTTTCTTTTGTTTTTCTCTTATTTGTCCTTAGACTTTCTCTCTTTGGGCCCTTTTTCAGTTGGCATTATCCTGTTTATTCTTTCAGCGCAGATGTTACCTTTCTTCTCTCTATATAATGATCTCTTTTGTATTTCAGTATGCTTTATTGATAATATTATTGTAGAACTTAACAGAGTTTGTTCAGAGATCTTGTTTAATTAGTTTTGGTTTTTGTACTCATACTCAATGATAGCTGGTCTTATTACTTTCCATGTGCCAGACACTATATACTAAAGTACCTTGTATCGTTGTCTGCTTAAGCCACACAACAGTCTTTTGAAGCAAGACTGTCCAAATTTTAAAGGTAAGGAAACTGAGGCTTAGAGAAGTAACGTTCCAGAGTTTCTCAACTAGAGAATGGAGAGACAAGATTTGGTGCTATACATGGTAGATTTGGAATTTCAAAGCTCAATTTTTAAAATATTTATTTATTTTTCAGTAACAGTGACACAATATTATATTAGTTTTAGATGTACAACACAGTGATTAGACATTTATATACCTTATGAAGTGATCACCCAATACATCTAGTACCCATCTGACACCATACATAGTTGTTACAATATTATTGACTTTATTCCTCATGTCAAAGCTCATTTCTTAACCATTACATAGGTCCCATAATTTTTCAAACACTATATAAATATTTATTGAATTTGATTTTCCAAGATAAACGCTTAACTAACTCAGTATAATCATTAACAGTATACTTTGAATAAAAGTCTGCTCTAACAATATTTCAGTGGAGGAAATATATAATAAAATTTGACCCATAAATCAAAAAACATCATTCTAGCCCTGGCCGGTTTGGCTCAGCGGTTAAAGCATTGGCCTGCGGTCCAGAGAGACTAGGTTCGGTTCCCGCTAAGGGCACATACCTCGGTTGCAGTTTGTCCCCGGCCCTGGATGAGTCGTGTGGGTGGCAGCCACTCGATGTGTCCCTTTCACGTTGATGTTTCTCTCTCTCTCTCCCTCCCACTCTATCTGAACAAAAAATGAAAACGTCCTCTGGTGAGGATAAAAAAACAAAAACAACATCATTCTAAGCAAGTAGTAGTGATCCATCTAAGCTGTGTTTTTTGGCTTTACCACTAGGCACTAATATTCAGAAGACTTCTTTTGTCAAGATTTGGGTTGAGGAAAGGCTAGGAGATTTTGATAAACCTGTTTGGGAGTATAAATACTTTGAACTTTTTCACACATTCCCCCAACCCCCCTCCCATCTGGCAACCAACAAAATGTTCTCTGTATCTATGAGAATGTTTCTGTTCTGCCTGTTCATTTTGTTTGTAGATTCAATTGTCGATAGATATGTATTCATTGCCATTTTGTTTGTTCATATATTTTATCTTTTTCTTCAAAAAGACCCTTCAACATTTCATATAACGGTTTGGTGGTGATGAACTCCTTTAACTTTTTCTTGTCTGGGAAACTCTTTATATGGCCATTGATTCTAAATGACAGCTTTGCAGGATAGAGTAATCTTGGTTGTAGGTCCTTGCTTTTCATCACTCTGAATATTTCTTTTCACTCCCTTCTGGCCTGCAAAATTTCTTTTGCGAAATCAGCTGACAGCCTTATGGGAACTCCCTTGTAGGTAACTAACTGCTTTTCTCTTGCTGCTTTTAAGATTCTCTCTTTATCTTGAACCTTTTGCATTTTGATGATGTGTCTTGGTGTGGGCCTCTTGGGGTTCATCTTGTTTGGGACTCTCTGTGCTTCTTGGACTTGTATGTCTGTTTCCTTCACCAAGTTAGGAAAGTTTTCTGCCATTATTGTTTCAAACAGGTTTTCAATTTCTTGTTCTGTCTCTTCTCCTTCTGGCACCCCCAAGATGCGCATGTTGGCATGCTTGAAGATGTCCCAGAGGCTCCTTACACTCTCCTCATTTTTTTGGATTCTTTTTCTTTTTGCTGTTCTGATTGGGTTTTTTTTGCTCCCTTATATCCCAAATCAATGGTTTGCTTCTTGGATTTACATACTCTACTATTGAATCTGTGTAAATTATTCTTTATTTTAGTTAATGCCTCCTTCATTTCTGACTGTGCCTCCATCATTTCTGACTGGTCCTTTTTTATGCTCTTGAGGCCCTCACTAGGTTCACTGAGGTTCTTACTTAAGTTCATTGAGCATCCTTATAAGCAGTATTTTGAACTCAGTATCTGTTAGGTTGCTTATCTCTATTTCACTTAGTTCTTTTCTTGGGGTTTTGTTCTGTTCTTTCATTTGGGACCTGTTTCTTTGTCTCCTCATTTTGGCTGCCTCCCTGGGTTTGTTTCTGTGTATTACATAACGAGAGGTATGGGGCTATCTGAGACCAGATGCTGATTGAAAGAATTTAGGAAAAACGTGAAGCAGGATCCAAGACAGGTCAATCCTATGGTTAAGCAACTGGCAACAGCTTGGGTGGGCCTGAAAGTTGGGTGGGGCGGGGCCTCAGGGAATTACCAGTGTGGGCCAGGTTGCTGGAGTCCCAGATATGCCTGCTGTCTGCCGCCCCAGGGAAGGGTTCAACAAAGGAACAATGGCCTCTGATGTGCTGTCTGTCCAGGAGAAAGCTGCCTCTCCAGCCCTCCAAACATATTCCCTGTATATCTCTGGTGCCTTTCAAGCTGCCTCCCCCACGCTGGAGCCTGGAGGGAGCAAGTTCGATAGATAAGTTCGTGTGGGGCCCTTTACGAATAGCTGCCTGGGGCTCCAGACGCCTCAGCCTTCCTGAGCCTCAGTTCCCTCTAGTTTATCCAGCCAGAAGTTATGGGGACTTCTCTTCCTGGCACTGGAACTCTGAGCGGGGCATCAGGTGTGGGACGGGACCCCTCAGTCCTCAGGGAGGACCTTCCCAGCCGAGGTGTCCTCCTGATTTTTATCCGCCACGCATGGGTGTTGGACT